CAGCAGGAAATCCATATATAAAGCTGCACTAAGATTTGGAGTTACAGTAGAGACTGAAATTCTCAGTTATACAGAAACAGCATTTAGCTACTGGAATTCCTGAGCAGTTAGGAGTAAGACCAGGGAATACAAAGTAGTAAAAGTACTTTCCTTTTTAATTGCTACTTTGCAGCTTTTTTCTCCGCCTATGAGAAAAGCTTTGACCTTTCTGTGTTCACAGAACTCTAAAATAGGCAAATTTTATTTACTAGGGAAACAAGGTAATTCCTAGTATTCTTGCTATGACGTTTGCTTGGGGCAAGTAGAGAGAAGATGAAATTTCTTTCTGAGAACCAGCTGGCCTAACAAAGGCAGTGACAATGTCACAATTTTATTTATTTTGCTGACATATGCAACAGTGAGTCCCATGGTCTGCTTCTCTTCCATCCCTCTGTGCTACTGGGAATCTGCTAAGAATCTGGACTTGTAAGTGTATGCCTTAAATGCCCCAGTAGTTCCCTAACTTCTAGGAAGTTTATTCCTATGAGGTCCTTAACCTTCATTTTCTTGAGAAAATCACTGCAGGTATCTCCCTTCACTAGCCTACTACAGAACACATCTACAAAAGAGGTTTCTCCCCCAACCATTGAAAGCTCATGTTCTCCAAAAGACTGAAAATTTTAGATATAAAATTCTCATATGTAGGCTGAAATTACAAGCTAATAACAACAATCATGTCATCAAGTCTGGATGAAAGGGCTTGATCAAGGGTAAAGTACATTCCAACACAGTCCAAAATAAAAACCTCAAAGGTTTGAGCTCCCCCATCTCACATGCCACCTCTTCTCCCCCTCTCCCTGTGCTTCTGCAGAAACATAGGAAAGAGCTGAAAAAAGCAAGTGAGAAAAAATATTTTTCTCTCCAAAATGCAAGCAAAACAGTGACACATTTAAATTATAACAAGAAAATTATTTTCTGCACAAAGTTTAATTTGCTTTTTTTAACAGTCTCCATCTGTGGTAGGCTAAGAGTAAAGGTGCAACACATGAAGGCAAATATGGATTAAGTTTTAGAAAGTGCTATTGTTTTTATGGATTGAGTTGATGAGAAATGCATTTGTGCACTCTGAACTGCCAGTAACATTTTCTGTTGTGGGATATACTTTGAATAATTCCTTTGCAAAAAGCATGGCCATATATTCATTAGAAACGGAAAGTCTTTCTGGAAGACCCGAGCTTCTAAATGAACAGTATTTCAATACATAAATTAAGGTGGTATAAAATCAACATACTGATTCTCAAATCCATCACCCCCTAAGCTAAAATACTTCATTCCCCTCTAACTTCAATTCCCAGCTATGCTGTCCTCTTAATCTTAATTATAAATAGTCTGCCACATATAAAATAATTCTCTGTGCTGCACGACTCTCACCCTTAATTGCACAAATATTTTATTTTTGGAACAACACAGCTCAGCAACAAGCTTCATTTTTCTTTCATTACTCAGTCTCTATTAAAATAAAGCATTTATAAAAGCTCTGGGTGCATGGAGAGAAAATTAGTTGCTCCTCTGTGGCTAACAGTTTTTAGCTAATGACAATGCAGCTCCACAGCACTCTGAGCAGAGCAGTGATTAAAACTGCGCCTGCAACAAAGCAACATTGTACACAGGGATGACGTGCTCCAGTCAAAAACGTCTCCCCTCTTGTTATGATTGGTATTCCCCAGATGTTTGACTTTGAGCTTTGAGCTTGGCAGGCGAGGCTTTGTGGCTGCAATTCAAGTCCCAGGCTTGAGCAGCTCCAGTGTTTATTCTCATAATTTACACTTTGTGATGGCTTATGGACAGTTATGTACTTGGTTTCGTAGCCACCACTTCAAACCAAGGGCCTGATCCTGCCTTTATGGATTCAGTGGTAAATGCTTCCCAATTACTGCACTGGCAGGAGGCCCCAGATGATTAAACTGTCTCTCAAAGCAAACAAGCTGATATAAAAGATCAATTTAGTTTAAAAGCAATTTAAAAATGCCTGAAATCTTACTTACTAGGAAGTCTTCTTCACAGTACACCTTGCCATTGACATTGTAGAATGCTTTTCCTCGTAGTCTTCTCCCTGTTAAAAGATGGTGCTGTCAGAATTTTGTGCTTTGTCCCCAAACCCCTTCAGAACACCAAGTGCAAAGCAGGCCCTGCTGTGCCTGTCTCCATGGCCTGTTCCTGCCCCTCTGCTCCACGGAGGGTCCATCCAGAGATGTGGGTAAGTTAGGCTGTTGGCTCCATCCTGACTTAAGAAATTCCTTATCAACTAAATGTGACTTCTAAGCCCAGGTTACAGAACCCAGCTGATACCAGTTTCTGAAAACTTTGAAATCTAAACAAAAAAAATAAATTAATTCTGTGGGGAAAGGCTCATTTGTAAATTGAGACCATTTTCTCAGCAGGTGAGAAATCACAGCAGGCATATATCCACTGCCATCAACATCAGTGACGAGTCTGTCTCCATAGGACCAAACAAGGGATACTACATTTGTGTGTTCCTGTCACCTTTAAAAATATTAATACATTAATTGATGCCACAGCAGCTACACCCACAGCTGCCTGTGATACTGGAGCAGTAGAAGGCACACGTGACAGAGAGAATGGCAGAAAAATCACACAAGACATTTCATTTTCAAGTTTGAACATTTGCCATTTCGTTAGTGCTTGCAGACCCCTATTGACAAAGCCTGTGTGATCATCTTTAACTGGTGGCTCCCTTTACAGCAGAAATCCACAACAGACTCCAGAGAGTCCCAACTTAAAGGATTAAAACCAGGAATCAGAAACCACCAAACCCAACTATCTTTTAGAGACAGCAGATCAGATCTGTCTTACACCAGAGCTGCTCCCATTGAAAGCAACACCATTGTACCAGTGTAAAACTAGAGAGGAGCAAAGGAAAACGCACTCATACTGACTCACCTTATTTCCAACTCTGTGCCAATGGCCAAAGCTCCCAACTGTTTGGGTGCTCAGAAGCCATTTGCAGCACTGGCAAGCAGATGGCCTGGTGCCTACAATGGGCTGTGTACCAGCTGCCATTAGCAGGGGCACAGAGCAAGGAGAGGGCCAAGAGGCTCTGTATTTACAGGTCACCAGACAACCCCTCCCAGGTCACTGCCAAAGCTGTTGCACCCAGAATGAGCCTGGACATCTCCTGCCAAGGCACAGTATTGGCTTCACCATAAATACCGCCAATCTTTGTGGAGGGTTTGACTCTGAGGGCTGGTGAGCTGAGCCAACTGGCCAAGCATAGAGGGGCAGGAGTGCTCTCCACGGTTTCCATAAACAATGTTGAGGAAAATATGATTAATTTTCAGTGCTTGAAAGCGCCTTTTACACATTGCAACTGTGATCCAATCCTGGGAAACAGTGTGTGGCACAAAGAAGTTGGGATTTGGGCTGATACTTTTGGGAAATCACATGCTGCATGTGGTTGTCTGGCGGTTTTACTGTTGTGGCCGAGGGAAATGCTTCTTTTGTGTGCACATTCTTGGGCTGTCGATCTCACGGGCTGCTGTCTCCATACTGCTGGTAGGTGGAGTCAGCTCTTGTTTGTCTTTCTAGCTGCCTGGTAGCTCTGGTGGGGACCAGGAGCCTGGTGGTGTGGACGATGCACTGCAACTGTTCCACCTCCTGTGAGGTAAAACCTGGTCCATCCACACATCACCAAAACAAGGCACGAGGAGACTGGGACAAGCAATCAGGGGGTCACAGGGCCTCTCTTGACTGATGCAGGAGTAGCCACCTCTAGATCCTCTCCCCTGCCTATGCAAGCTGTTTTTAAACCTCTCCAGTGAAAGCAAAAGTAAAGGTAAATGGAAAGGAGGGCAGTAAATAAAAGAGGGCAGAATAGCTTTTTAAAGGACATGTTGGCTCTGCTAGACCCAGCTTTAATACACAGCTTGTCTTTAGATAGCGGAAACAAAGGGGCTGTGCCCAGGACAGGGACTTGCCTTGGATGTGCTGATGAAGCATTTTCACCTTGCTCACTCACACAGCTGATGCAGAGCCAGGGTGTTGGTTTCAAGTGGAGAAGCACTGACCATCACCCTCACCACACACCCATTATGGTTAGAAGCAGCAGAGATAATTAGAGACAAATCCTGAACTCCACTGCTGGAAGGATCTCTGCAGGAAAGGAATGTCCTGCAGAGCCTGGCAGTCCTCAGGTCGACAGAAACACCCCAAATTCTGCTCCTGTTGTTTCCTTAGCACAGCATCACTAGCAGAAGCTAATGGGGCCACAGCTTTCCTGGACTGGGAAGACTACAACCCAAAGCAACCAAGGCAAACCCAATGTTTCAGATTGGCTCTCAAAGACACATGTTACCAGATGCATTTGGCAGCTGATTACCCAGTGACATGAAACCACTTCACCCCAGCACAGCAAAGCTGCAAATCTCCAAACCTCCAACTCAGCCACCACACAAGTTGTGAGCCTCTGCTCACACCCAACTCTGCAAGCCCCTCTGCCTGCCAAACATAGACAGCTAGCATGGTAAATACATGTTTTACACAGCATTAGCAGAGAAATACCTTTCTAAACTGGGGGGAAAATACCATTTCCCCCATTTTACACCTGAAAAAAACAAGCCTCTTAATAGCGAACTGACTTGCCTAAACTCATAAACTAGGCAAGCAGCTTGCTCACATGGTAATTACTACTATTAGCAATAATTAATAAAATAGACAGGCCTTTTACCTTAGAGGAATTTCATTCAGGGATCATACAGTAATTATCTCATAAACAAGAAACAGCAAGTTATCACACAAATAGCCATGACTGCACCATATTGGCTTCTACATGCTGCATTTTAGAAACAGAAGCAAAAACATACATTCAATTTGCCCTCTGCAAGAGTTTGCTAAATGACAGCATAGAACACGGCTAAACACCAAACTCCATAAAGTGCCTGGGCACCATACGAAAACTGCAATCAAGAGGAAATCAAGGCAGTTGCAGCCAGGGAGATACAGCATTGATACCTCCCAGCCCCAGGGCAGCCGTGCAGCAGGACAGGTGCAGCACCTCAAGATTAGGGACCTGCCCCAGGCTTTATGTCCTGGACAAGGTGGTTTCACCTCTCAAGGTCCTGAAGTAACTCAGGATCCCGCACAGCCCCAGCCTGCTTTGTGTAGTCGTAACCTATTATTGTCAATCAAGCAGAAATTAAAAAAACCCTAACATTGCTTTAGCCAGCTGAGTCAAATGCCTGGCCAGCTAGACAAGGTAGCACCACTGGTACACAGAACCTGCCACTTGGCTTTACTTTGAATGGCTGAGTGTAGCCAAGCCTGGATTACTATTTGCTTTCACAATATTGAAACAAAAAAGTCAAGAGTTTCTGACAAAACTTGATGCAACTTGCCGATAGCTCATTACAATAATAATGAGCACTTATAATGAGCAGCCTAGCTCAGAGTTCACAAGTACAGGGTTTCACAAACAGTGTTTCTTTCCTCCTCCTTCTGAGTATCCACCTTGGCACGTCTGCCTTGTCAGACCAGTTTTCAACAGTAGAGAGGAAGAGGCTGTTTCACACCCGACCAGAAGAGCAGCAGGTCAGCCAGGAACACACAGGAGGACCATGGGACGGGTCAGAAGCTGCCCAGCCTGCAGCCCGCACACAGGCACATAACACTAGCTTTTATAGAGAAGCCCTTTTTTCCCCGAGTGCTCTTTAGAGTTTTACTGTTTTACTGTAGAAAATTACGCTCACAGTGACAACAAATGCTTCTTGCAACTAACATTTCTTGACTGACACCCACACATCTGAGGGATAGCGAGAACTAGGAAAAGGGAGTTCCACCACCTCAGGTAGGAGGCAGAGATCTTGCAAATGCTCCAGCAAAGACTGCAAAGTTCTACATACATCATCTAGACATTAATAAAGCACAGGCTGGAAATTACTCCATCCCAAAGAATGATCACAACTGGTGTCTGCAACCAAAAGTACAAATACCTAAAAGAAACCACGCTTTTGAAACTTCTATAAAATGTATAAAATCTGAATTAGCTCTAGGTTTTTAACATCAGTTTTCACATTTAATCAGCTTGAGTCTGGTATTTAAGTTATCTAGCAACTACTTCCTGCACAATTCTTCTCCACGGTGCGTTGCAAATTGAAAGGAACCAGAGAGCTGTTGCTTTAGCGAAGGACTCAAGACAAAGATTCAGCTTGCAAAAGGGAAAATGACCCACAGTTGACACAACTATTCTCCCCAGTCTCCACAATATTTCACTGGGTGAAAACATACTAGTCAGGAAGCTAAGATGAGGTAAAACTTCTCCTAATGCTGTTTCAAAAGCTGCTCCAGGCCCTCACAGAACAAAATGTGAACCAGACTGGGTTTTACAGTCTTAAGAAGGTGCTTTGAAAGAGTGCTGAAAATGTCCTGCCCTCGTCACTAGGCCAGAAAGCATCTTCAAAGCTCTTTTCTGCTGCTGCCGGCAGTGGTGTATTTGCCTACAGGGAGGTGAGTTTATCAAGTCACAGCCTTCAGTGGTAGATCTCCAGTCTTTCATGGGATGATGCAACCGTGTTGGGGGCTATCCCCCCCTTGCCTTTGTAAGACAAGAGATAGCAATGTCTCACTGTCACAGCACTGTTATTAGACCTAATTACTGTTTGCAGTATGCTTTGATGTTGAAAAATGCCAAGCATTATTATAATATTTTAAGTACTTTGATGATTAAAAACATGCAACTGTTGGGTAATAATGATTTACTAGCATTGTAGTGTAAGCAAGTTCATGTGAGAAGCCTGCATTGTCTCAGTGCCTGACGCTACTTAAAAACAAGCAGCTTCCCTCTGACATAATGGGAATGCTGCAGCCCCAGCCTCGCCTCCCAGATAACGCCCTGTGTGTCCCTGAGACTACCAGCAGGCTGAAAAAAGTACACCAGTGTACCTCCTCACCATGATGATCTCCCTTAACGTGCCTCTTCTCATAACTCCATGTGGGAAAGTTTATCGTTAAGAGGGAACAAAGTGTGAGATGACTAATAATGTCCTCCTTATTTCTAACATTACTGCTGCATGGAACAAAAAGATTGTATTTTTGTCAGAA